GTAGCGAGGTGCCTCGAACTCGAACCCTTCAGTGACCCATAGGGTGCTACATGAATAGCCCATTTCCGAATTACCTTTGGCCTCTTTTTCAAAGCGAGTCCTGATGCTCAACCTTTCATACGGCAATAAGTTTTCATCCACCTGCAAATTCAACTCATTTTCAAAAGAATGGTTGAGCACCAGGCCTCGTTTTGAAAAATAGGCCAAAGGTAAATCAGAAATTACCTATTGCTACATGTTGGATCGGCTCGATTACCATGTATGGATGCCCACATGTTGGGAACGAGGTTGTTCTCAGTAATGAGATCTTGTTACTGATGAAATGTTAAATTATCATATTTTGACAATGGAATGTTAGTAATGAGTTCATCCTCATAGATGATAAAATTATCGCCCCGTTGTTTTCCTCACAGTAGGATATATTTTTGCAACGAAATTCTTTCTCAGGTTAACAAAAACTGTTTTTCCCCTTCAACAGTGAGCTCAACAGACATGTTAAACGATGAACTGAAGCGCAGAATGACTCACAGTCAGGGGGGACTCACACCAAGGGCTCAACGGAAAGGTGAGGTTTTCTTTGCTCTCATTCTTCTCATTTTTCATCCTTGTTCCTGTTTTATCTGGGTGTAAAACGTCGCTGTATCTCAGTAATTCTCCCACACCAGTCCTTCACCCATCCTTTATTATGCCTGGTTTCTTTCGAATGTTCCACCGCCAGTCTTCGTGTCGTTAACTTTTTTAACTCCTCCCCCCTCCCTCTTGCCTCTCCCATTCCCTGTGGGGAGAGGGGCGGTGCGAATTTCGAAGATTAAAGCTTCAGTAGGTAAGAGGGCCCCCTTTCTCTTTTCCGCTTTCTTTTTTCCTCGCTCCCAGAACTAACTGATCTTTCCTGTTCTTGTGTGGCAGATGCACAGACCGTTAATCTGACGCCTGATTCAAATGCAAAGCAGGTCAAAGAGTGGCTTAAAAGTAAAGATTTTAGTGACAGGTGTGTTGCTGAAAAAAAAAAATAGTTGCTTATGGTCGTATCTGAGCGGCACATTCCGGCTGCTGGATTCGGACACGGAAATTTTTCTTAATGTTTATTTTGAGCAAGCTCAATCTAAACCTGGGTATGCTGTGGAGCTGAAGAAATCGCTTCCGTCTACGAGATAATGGAACTTCTCCAAAACATGTCATGTTTGAACATTGTCTTTTTTTTTTTTTTCTGTGTCGAAGAATGACCCTACATTTACGCATAAAAATAAGTGGGCGGGCCACAGTAGCAGCGAATGTTCCATAATAGCGCTGCAATAAGAGAGAGTAGCGGTTAATACGACTGAGTGTGGACAGTGTGTTGATACTCAAGATGGTGACTTGACTACTGACCACCTTAAGTTCTATACCAAGACACTACAATTACTAACAGCCTTTCTTACTTGTGTTTTGCTTTGCTTGTAGCTGTGTAGCGGCGTTGTCTGGCAAGTCCGCCAAAGACATGGAAGCTATGACAAAGGATCAGCTGAGTCAAGCTTGTGGTGATGCAGATGGAGCAAGGGTGTATAGTCAATTTTCAGTGCAGAAAGCCAGTTGGAAGGTATTTTTGAAACTTCTATATTATGCAACAATCCTAATAAAGAATGTTTTTAACTTGCAAAGCAAATCCATTTTTACCACACTTGGCTGTAATGTCGCAATCTGATTGGTCAATTTGCCATTCTCAACACTAAGACCGACAACTTTGCTTGCGTCAACGTGTCACGCATCGTGTCACGCTCTGAAAGAATCGTTTTATTTGACTCTGGTGTTATAGTTAAATAGGAAATCGTCCGTGGTCAAGCATGGTCTGTAATCTTATCGACAACGATGTTCGTCATCACAGTGGTCAAAATTAGTTGCGGACTCACTCACTCGGCTGCGCCCCTTGAGTCCACAAAATTTTGACTATTATGATGACGAACATCGTTATCGATAAGAGTACAGACCGCGCTAAACCACTGACGATTTGTTTTTTAACTATAACACTAGAGTCAAATAAAACGATTCTTTCAGAGTGTGACACGATGCGTGACACGTTGACGCAAGCAACGTTGTCGGTATTTGTGTTGAGAATGGCAAATTGACCAATCAGATTGCGACATTACAGCCAAGTGTGGTAATAATGGATGTGCTTTGCGAGTTAAAAACATTCTTTATTAGGATTGTTGTATTATCAGTCGATAACCGGTAAACTCACTTATCCGCCTCTAGTAGCTCGTATTAAGGCCTAAAATCTCTTAGGCCTTGTGTGTCGTCTCTAAAAGTAGGTGGAACACTCTGTACATTACGTCTTCTGTTCGATAAACAGTTTTATTACACGACTCGGGAAGTCAGAGGGCCAATAACTAAAATCAACCAATCAAAATGCTCTATTGCCGGTCAATATTCTCTCAGTATTGGACCGGGCACTGTCCCGAATGGTCCCGAATGATACCGCACTTGTGTCCCTTTGAACTTCAGTCGTGTAATAAATCTCTTATTAACCAAGCTTGCTCAGGACCGTACTGGGAGAATATCGGCCCTCGGTCTTTTTTGTACGGACCTCGCTGCTCTCGGTCCGTACTGTCAAGACCTCGGGCCGATATTCTCCCAGTATGGCCCTCGCGCTTGGTTAATAAGATATATTTGTCTTCCTCTAACATTGTTTGGATTATCAAAAGATTTAAATGGTAAAAGACCTTTTATTGTGTGTTCATATAAAAAAAAAAAAAAAACTGTCTTTTCACTGTCTGTGATGAGGGGGAATTCTTGTTATCAACCTGTTTTTCAATCTAGAAAGCAGTTCAATTACTGATATTTTTTTTCCCTTTTTTTTTACTCCAGGCAACAAATAAAGGATCTGAATTGGCGGTAAGTGAAGGAATCCTTTTATTATTTTATTGGACCAAAATAAATGAACCAATACAATGTAAGAAGTTCGCAGGGTATACCAAAGGGAGACGTGACCTTCTTCCGGAGGTTCAACTGCCTTACGGAGCTGTAACAGAAAATGGCTTCCTAAGTCAGTGTAGTTGATGACTTATGAAAGTCAGATTACTTTATCTGGAATTTTGCTGTAACTCAGCTTATTAAGACTGAGTAAGATTCGTTCATGGTGCAAACCAAAATTAATAATAGATTCACCCTGCTTTTCTTATGTTCATAATCTACATGACACCCTTTTCCTGACATGTCCCTTTTTTGTCACTTGCTACCTGAATTTCAAAATGTATGTCACGACCGCCCCCCTGTAATTCAGTTGTTACTGCAATAGGGTTGAATAAACGATTAATTGATTGATTGATTGATTGATTGATTGATTGATTGATTGATTGATTGAATGAATCTTCTAGTTTTGCGCTGCTCTTGTGGGAAACAGGATATTTTCCCTAACCTGGAATTTTATTTTATTTTCTTGGTAGTTCATTATGCAAAAACGAAAGGAACGATCGGAAGAAAAAGAGGAACCAAATAATGATGGGGAGCTGCGCATTATTGTTGCTGATGCTAAGGCTGCTGCAGCCAAGGAGGAGACGGAGATCAGGCAAAGAACATCCAGCACTGGAAAGAAAACAAACAAACCCGGCGCTCCTCCACCGAAACCCCGACCCAAGAGCTTTGCAGGGCCTGAGGTAAGGCCGCGTACAAATACCAAGACGGACCAGAATACACAGCAAGAGGCGTCCTTTGATTCTGAGTTTATTCCACCGCCACCAGTGCTAGATGCTGAAGATCAGCCGACAAGCAAAGAAGAAAGTCTGGTGGTAAGTGACAGTTGCTTTAAATGTAATACAGGGTGACTAATTTACTTTCTTTTTTTTTTGTTTGTTTTGAATTTGCTTGTTTTGTATTGTGTAAACTGAGTAACGAAGTGAATTTTTAACCTTGGTGATCTCATGTACTGCTTTGATTCTTTGTCTTTAACAACGATTTAATTTTACAGGCGAGAAAGATTTCCGTCGAAGATGTCCAAAGCATTATGCAAGAACAGAAGAAACAACAGGAACTGTTGATGGTGGGTAACCAAGATTGCTACCTTTTATAAAACCAAATCTTGTGCATTTAGAAGAAGCAGTGGCTGTATTGTTTTTGTGGCCTTTATTCAAAAACAGCCGTCGTATTACTGGGAAGTCTAAGGCTTACCTGTCACAACTAAACCACCTTCATGCACGAAATATTTTAGCGCCTTTCAGTAGCATGTGAACTGAATGTATCGAATGTATCCTATTGCGGACCTCTCAGAAATCTAGGCTGATATTTTGGAGCCTTCAAAAGAACATGTTCATGTTTTAGCCTCTGTTTGGCGCATCCTGTATACCTTATTTCCTCTCATAAACGCCCTCCTTACCCGAATAAGTGCCCACCCTTTAGACTACAATGTCAAACAAGCGCCCCTCCTCCCTCACTTTCTCAACTAAAAAGGATACAAGAAAAACCTATTTCTAGTGTCTAAGTTCCAAGCACAGCGGAATCAGTACAGGGGAATCATTTCTCTTCCTTCTTAGTTATTTCTATCTCCATGTGCTTTCAGAATTCCTTTATGTGCGTTGTCTGTTCTTTTCATTTTTTGTTCTATTGCCGCGCCAAGTTAATAACCCCTTCCCTTGTCGACAATGTGCCATCCCAATAAACGCTCCTCTTTTTAGCCGACATTTTAGATAAGCGCTCGGGCGCCTATTCGAAGAAAAACGGTAATTAATTTTTCTGCGTTAACATTTTTGTCAGAATAATGATTGATAGTATTACGAAATCTAATCGAAAGGGGAGGCTTAGAATTCGTATTCAGAGCTCATGTTTTTTTCAAAGGCGTAGGATTGAAAGTGTCGTTGAATTAGCCACTTTGGCCAAAGTGGAGAGAGGGAGACTGCGAAAGGAGGGACAATATAGGTTTTTTATTTGTGCTCGAGAAGAAATCGTTCCTTTAGATGTGGTCATAATGATTTTATTTTGTTCAGAGCAAGGAGTTTGCGAAATTTTCTTTTTGACAAAGGAGTTTACCATTTTGGGTCTTTTTTTTCCAGGAACACGACAAAACGCTATTCCTACTGGAGCAGCTTCAGAGACAAAAGTTAGAACTGGAACAACAGAAAAGGGAGTTTGAGGAACAACAGCAGAAGTTGAAGCAGGCCGAGTTACAGGTGTGTTGCAGGACACAGTGAGCCCATGTCACGCAAAGTTTGGATCGCTTGTCACACAACTTTGTCACACACCTCTATCCTGTAAAATTGTTTAACAGATGTCACGCAATGGAAAACTATCCATTTGATTGAGTGATGATTTTTTGCAATGGCTAGAACTTTACACAAGGAAAGTTTAGCCGAAGATATTCTCACTCTCGTTTCCTCCCAAGTGGTTTTCTTATCTCAAAAAGTCGAAAGTGCGTTGTTCCTTTTTTATTTTGAAAAATTGTTTCGAAGGCATTTGAACAGTACAAAGTATTTATGCCTCGATGCGTAAATCCGATATTGGTTTTATTCGATGTTTTTCAATGACTGTGAATATATGAAAATCTTATATAATCTCATAAGTCAGCTAGTATTACATCTTGATTTATAATATTTCATTAAACAATCAGTTGTTAACAGTACAGTTGAAGTGACTGCCTTGAGTCTTTTTCTAACACATCCTTACAATTTCATTTTAGGAACAGCAGAAAGAGCTACATCGTCAAATACAAGCGCAGCAAGATCAACTGAAAATGAACGAGGGCAAATTAGTGCAGCAACAACGCCTGCTTTCAAACTACGAAAATATTCCCGCACAGTACACTTACTCCCAGATTCCCCCTGTTATGCCCCAGATGCCTGTAATGCCCCTAGCGGGAGTGGGAACCGGGGCTCCGGCGTATCTACCCATGGGGGGCCTTCGGCCCATGTACTCAGCGTACCCTGGTGCGATGACTCAACCGGGAGTTACACATATGGTGCCTTCCATGGGTGTACCCTCATTAGCTCCAACACAGCCACCCACTCAGGGTTGATGTGGCCGTAGGATGATTTTGTAGGAGTGCTTTGTGTTATTTAGAAAATCGAAATTTTTGTATATTTGATAATCAAATTATGAGATAGAAAATGGTAGGCATGAAGAGCGTTTTCTCTCAAGCTACCAAAAAGAGGGAAACTTAAGAGGAGAATGTCTTCCCATAGCTTTGTTTGTTATACCAGCCAATCATGCATGTCGAATAGTCCGTTTCAGTGATGGCGCTAATTCGCAGGATTGAGCCTTTGTGAGGAAAAAAAATGCTTTCTGTTCATCAAAATCAATTCAGGTAGTAATTAGGAGGGGAGTAGTAGGGTAAGACAAGGTGGGGTGATGGGATGGGGTGGTAGGGGAGAATATTTATCCACCGGGTTATATTTAGTAGAGGCAGCCATATTTCCATTCGTTTCATAATTTCATGCCGTTTTCATTCGTCTCTAGATTTCATTCCGTAACAAAATTACAAATTATGCCCTCCTCATGTGGCAACTGCATTGTGACTTGCTCAAGGAGCTGTGGTTTGTATAGCAATGTCACATGAGGACCACATTAGAACTACATTATATGTTGAGGGCTTTGGTCACGCAACTTTTCCGTGACGCGTGTTCATCTTCAAGAATCGTGTACAACTCATTTTACGCATTCGTACACATTATGTCTTTTGGATAAACATGTTCCGCCTCTTAAAGATACGTGGCGACTATTTGGCATTATTTTGTGCGTAGCCCTCCTTAACGTGGTGGCAGCTTACTTATGATTACTTCTTAAGAGTTTTTTTAAGAAGCAATCAAAAGTTCAACATTTCCTCATAAATTTTTCATTCACTTTACCCATCGTTCCCCTTTTTTTTCAAGTCAAAACTGAAGATAGAATGTGCGTTATATTTTTGTATCGCTCCCAGTGGAGTAAGTATCTGCTTTTTGTATAGTACGATGTTTTGAGGTCGTTTTGTCCAGTTTTAGACAGGTCGAATTGAAATGAAGTCAAAATATGGTTTGTGTAGCTGTAGAGAAATTCCGCGGATCGATTTGGAATTTGAATGATCCACTGTTCAAAAAAATATTTCTGAAAACTGCTCACTAGACTTTCTCATTTTTTCTCAGCATTTCCTCATAAAATAGAAGTCGTTTTCAAACAATTAATACAAAATTGATCTTTTCTAGGAGAGTCTGGTTCGTTGGTTATCCTTTGTGCCTTTTGTCTTGCTTATTTGCTCCTGCGAGATTCATTTGTGAAAATGTAGCAAATGCGTTAAGAAAAAATAGTAGGAGTGTTAGGAGAGACCGCTGCTGAGTTACTGTTACAAAAGTATCTGTTGAACTACTCTTTAGATCCACAAGCGTTCGCCTAAAAAATGAGACCAAACAAAATCTTGTTTATGAAGTCGTGTGTAGTTTGCAGAAGTTTGAAAATCATTTCATATGTTGGTCCCGTTCGACCGTGATGAAAGATTTCCTGACAATCAGCGACTGGTCAGCAGAAGTAAAAATGTTAATCGTATTTAAGTAGCCATGCAGACACATAGATATTTGATTATTTACAAAATTAATTAATGCGGTGTACAGAGTGCAGTGCTTTTTTCCTGCTTTGTACGCCAATTCTTGCAGTATTTACCATTGATCACCGTGTAAAATCTCCCGGAAATGTTGGTGTTTCTCTATGATTGTAGTTAATTCAAGTAAAGAAGTGTAAGTTGAATACAAGTGTGATGCATTAAATGAATTTACTTTCTTGTTACTGCACGTTGTATTGACTGTTTATTGAACTGCTTATGGGGCTCAATTGGAGGATTGGGTCCAAGTGAGCACGAGACCCTAACGTCACCCTGGCGACCATTCCAAGAGATATTAGACTAGAAGACCAGGATCTGTCCCTCTGTCAAGTCAAGGTTATAATTTTTGAGTAATATATCAATCGGTTATGCTGTCAAAATGTCCGTCAAGCGCAAATGCAGCCGCTTCTCTCCTCGACCCCTTGTTCTATGCCCTCTTCCCTCTTGCCTCCCCGTACATTTGAGTTTGCTTGACTTCCAGCGTGGGTTACTATTAAACCCACCTGTCGGGTAGTAAATTGTTTTGTTAAAGAAACGATTCAAGTAGCGATTGCTTGGCTTCATTAAGGGTCATATTCGCGTCTTTTAAAAAGAAAAGAAAAACTGATTTCACCGTCGCATTTTTTAAGCATTCAGAACTCGACTCTCCTATAGGGTCTCTCTAATGTATCAAGCGGTTTATGATGTCACAGTAGGTGAGAACAAACGTTAAAAGGCTTTAAATAACTAAAAGATATACTGCTAAAATAAAGATTTCTTATTAACATGTTACCTGCCTGTTTGTTGTCACTGTAGTCATGTGACATCGGTCGGCAATTGGCGATTATCTGGTGCCACCAGTCAACTCATTAGCATTTCCTGTATGAAGCGGAATACAAAATTACCGAGTTATTTTGGAATTTTGAGAATGACACGAACACAATCATGTCCTTTTTTTATCAGTGAAAATTTCTTTGAAAATGCACCACACCTGACACTTGTGGTGCGGCTGTGAAGACGGACAATGATTCAAGATCGTAATCCCATTTTGTGGAACGTTGAGATAAATGGGAAACTGTTTAAGGAGAGATGACAACGCAAGTGAAACGAGACCCGAATTAGGGACTTCGCAGATAAACATGTCATGGCCGGATGACTTCAAGGACACATCACCTTCAAGTTTGCCCGATGTTGTGGTAGAGAATGATAAACTAACTCTAGACTTAAGTTTTTTAAAGTTAAAGTCGTTGCCGGAACAGGTTTGCGAAAGAGGAATTATTGAGGTCCTTAATCTGAATTGCAACAAGATATCTACTTTTCCTTATAAATTCGCAGCCCTTCGCAACCTCACAGAGCTTTATCTTAGAAATAATTATCTGGAATTTCTACCAGCGCAAATATGTTCCTCGGTTAGGTTAGAAGTCCTGGAACTGAATCGAAATCTTATCGAGACTCTGCCTTATTGCGTCAGCCATTTATGTCACCTTCGGAAACTAAATCTCGCCTTCAACAATATTAAGGATCTTCCACCAAGCATCCGCTATTTACAACGGCTGCAATATTTAAACATGGAAGGGAATAGTCTTCAAAGTATTCCCGAAGCCGTGTTTTCGCTAGTCAGCTTGGAGGTTCTGGTTTTAAGTGATAATGAAATTGAATGTCTTCCCCAGAGTTTAGTTCAGCTTGTTCTCCTCAAAGAGCTTTACCTAGATGATAACAAACTGACCGAGCTTCCGGAATCCTTATTGCGGTTTCTTTCCGAACTTGACAGCCTGAATGTAGGTAACAATGCAAAAGTATTGACATTATGTAAGCATCATGAGCCCCGCACGAAAAAGGTCAGTAAGCGAAAACAAAATGATGTGGATCCCAACCCGGCTACAGGGGAACCATTTGAAGACCTCCAACAGTTTGACCGCAGTGTAGTTGCTGAGGATCGCTCAATGGTCTTTTCAGAAATAAATCTAAATCACCCTGAGGAGAAAAGAGACATCTTTGAAGGAGTAAACGCTTTTGTTAATTTGAAATCTGAAGACGCCAAACCGAATGCTGCGGAGACAGCAAGGCGAAAAGTTCGTGCAACAAAAGCGAGCGTGCGTGAAGCACTCCGTCCTTCCCCAAAGTGGCGCATTCTCTACCGTGAAATGAAGAAAGCAGGATTTTTGCCGAATGTTAACGTAAAACTGCCGAAGCGCCAAAAGCAGGAAAAGCCGCCTAAGGTTGCGAAACAAGGGTCTCGTTACACTTGGAGAGGCTGGCGAGTGGATTCTAATTTTGAATCCGCGGTTTCACAGCCAGGAGGGTCGCTCAGTTCCTGTTTCGATGACGAAATGGATGAGTATGGTCACCCTGTGAGCATCAGCCGACTTCTACCCGAAGTGAAAAGAGTTGGCGGACGTATAACACTCGACCTCAGTTGGAAAGAGCTCAAATTTGTGTCCCCAACAGTCTGCGAGCTCGTAAATCTAAACTCACTCCTTCTTGATTTCAACGAAATTGAAGAGTTACCATTCGCCATAGGAAATCTTTCGAGATGCCGCATTCTTAGTCTTGATTGCAACAAGCTCGTTTCTCTTCCGGAAAATCTGCGATTGCTTTCCAATCTTAGGCGCCTGCATTTAAACGGAAATCATCTTCGCGCGTTTCCTGACTGGCTTGAAAACTTTCAGCAGCTCACAATTCTCTCCGTAGAAAATAACGGAATGCCATTTTTTCCGGGGGAAATCTGCTCCCTTGAAAATCTGGAGTCTCTTTTACTCGCGGGAAACAAGATCAAAGAATTGCCCGAGAAGATCAAACGGCTCAAGCGTCTAAGAGAATTGTGCCTGGGACGAAACATGATTACTTCCATTCCCTACTCCATTTCCGAAATGGAATGCCTGCGAGTACTTCATCTCGATAACAATGAGCTAAACGCGATCCCTTTCCCCGTCTTGAGTTTAGTTGGGTTACAAACGTTAAATCTCAATGGCAACTCCTTGAAGTCAGTTCCAGACAGTATCACCAATCTTCGAAACTTGGAGGAGTTAAACCTGGGTAAGAACGTCATAAAATACTTACCATATTGGTTTAATGGCTTGGAAAATCTTAGTGTTTTGTCTTTGAATTGCAATGGCATGGCAGTTTTCCCTGAGGTACTTTGCAAACTACCATCCTTAATTTCCCTCGATTTTTCTCAAAACGAGATCACAGAGCTGCCAGATTTTGTACGGAGTAGTATCGCGGAAATGACGCACTTAGAACAACTGGAATTATCCAACAATCAACTCCAAAGATTACCGGACAGTTTCAGTCATCTGGTCAATCTGGAAGTTCTTCATTTAGAGGGAAACCCTTTGATAGAGCTACCGGAAAATATGAGTGAGCTTGTCAACCTCAGAAAGTTGTATATCGATAGAACAATCAAAATACCACAAAAGATTTTCCGACTTCCCAAACTGGAAGTTTTCTAATTTTCAGTTTCGTCACAGTCTGAAGACTCTGAACGCAGGAGCTTTAAGTTCGTCGGCCTGAACGTTGGCATGTAGTGATGCAGCCTTAAATAATTTCTTGATATATAAGGTAGGGGNGGGAGGGGGGGAGTTGTGGACCCAGACGCAGATCCAGGTGTACTGAACCTGCTGGTCCGAACTACATAAACGCAGCAAGTTTCTTACGAAGCTTCTGTGTATTAATTTTAGAAAAGATCTCGACAGCATTGTTTCTCGGGGTAATCTTAACTTAAGTGCTGGAATAAATCTTACAGATACCCATGATTGTCAGTTTTTGAACAAGAGGATTTGCTTTTCTTATTTTCCCATCACCACTGCCAACTCGAAAGGCGCTGAAATAAACTGTCATCTCAAGCATATTTATAAGGGGACTGTGACCAACGGGAACGAGATAAAAGATGATTAATGCGTGTTAAAGTTATGCTTTGGCGTTCTTTATTATGTGCTTAAATCAGAATAATTCTTTGTTCACTTGCAAAACATACCACGTATCAGAGAAAATTTTATGCTCGTCGAGGAACTAGTTAGGGAATCTGTCACAATGTGTACGATTTAAAGTCATTTCAGAACCGTTTTGGAGAGTTCGAGATTTCTATTTGGGATATGATAACAATGAAAACAGCTGGAAATCTAGCTCGCAAGCACCACACCCTCATTATTAGCGCTTCGGCATGCGTGTTTCTTCTCCCGCGGACCGGGAGGTCTGCAAGGGAGATTTGGTGTAAGGGGATCTGCAATCAGCGTCAAATTAGTCGACATATCATGTCTGAAGAGTTCTACTTGTGTGAGGAATAACAGTCCTGTCTCTATCACACTCTAAATCATAAACAGACCCCCTCCCCCCATCCAATATTGGCTAAAAGCTGATAGAATCACGATACAGCATTGCTTTTTTTTGAGGGGGGGCGGGGGAGGTGCGAAATGGTTAACTTAATGAGGACAAAAGAGATAAAATTGAAGTAATAAGGGGTTGCAAAGATCAATGTGTCAACCAATTTGTCGCCGATTGTAGTTCTCAGTGCCAGACCTTCGGTAAACCTCTCCCCGACCCGTCTCAAACTTTCCCACGGGCGGAAAACGCGCGCGTCCGGCGGCGCATATAGTCCTTATAATAAGGGACTGCTTACAGACTACTCGAAATCTAAATAAGGATGTGTTTGACCAGTTGCACTTCTGGACTGGGATTAAATGATCTTGTGTTTGTATGGTTTTGGCCGTATACACAACGTTACGGTATCGAGCAAGTCAGTAAACCTTCCCCCAAGCCCCTCGCGGTTTTCAAAATGGCGGACTATCTTGATACACTCGTAACATTTCTTGCGCCTCGTGCTGGTTCAGTCCCAACACTTGCCTTTGTTGAAAAAATCTGGTCGGGTTTTTTCGGCAAGATTTCCCTATAACCCCATTTATAATTATGCATTCAGTCTTTGTTCAATGAAAACAATAGCGATAACAATAGAATTCCTTTGAGAGTAGTAGTCTTTGTTTTCAAGTTTGATTCTTTTTGGCACGGCCAGGGCTCGAACCTTCGAACTCGAGAGGAGTGGAGTATATTCATTGCGCCAGGTGTGCAGAGCATTCAAAGTGGCGAAGTTTTGGACAGAAATAACGTTGATGCGCTTTTAATGCATGTAACCTATTCGATTTTCTTTTCTATTTTCTTTTTCTTTTTCTATTTTCTCTACTGTTCCCGGCCTGACAACTGACCGGTGTACAAACTCTACTCTAACCAAGTCCTCCTTTTGTCAAAAGTTTGGCATCGATAAGAGCTATATATTAACCCCTCTGTTCTATACCACATTGCTTTTTACTGCAATACTTTACAACTATACAACAGTGGGCACATGCAGTCATGGACTACCTTTTATTTCATTCATCCTCTCCTGGTTTATTTACATTTTCTATTTGTTCATACTCCTAAATACAACAACGCTGTCAAAAAGCGTCGATAAAAGGAGAAAAAAAATTAAATAGGAATTATTTCATCCCTGTTTGCCTTTTTTTCTCTTCATCCAGATTTCGATTTCGATTTTTAATTGTTTCTCTACCGCATTGGTTTCCCTCGCAGCCGTTTGGGGGAGGAGAGTTGCGTGACGAGACTAAAAACGGCTGTGAGGGAGACTACTACCACATTTGTTTTATAAAAATGTCAGACATATCTACCAGAGCTAAGATTTCAAAATCGCACCTAGGAAAGTCCTCAGAAGTAAAAAACTCTTTCGTTAAAAGGACCACGCAAAGGCTCGGTGATGAGCATCAATCGATTAGGCCGCGTTGGTAAAACTGAAGAACAAAAACTTTCAAGAGAAAAAATGCACGACTCTGTCACGACCGTGACCTCATGTGTCGTCTAAACAGGAAATGATAAGACATGACGTCGATCATACTATCGCTGTTGCTTTTACGCCAGGATCAGACTTAATCTGTTTTCAAACAGTCTTGGAATCTCTTTCCTTCAACAGCTGTTTGATTGATTTATGCGACTGCTGACCACTACTTTGCAGGCGCCTAGGAAGGAGTATTTTAATTTATTGCGAACCAATCTGCTATGCGGAAGAAGTTTACCTTCCTTGTTAACTGGATGTAAATCGGTAAAAAGAACCTTACGTCTCGGCGAAAAGAGAAAATCAAATGTCTTTTACCACAAAGTTCGATTTGGGAAATACATCATTTATGTCAGTAATACGTGGGTGGGTGAGAAAGTGCATCCTAAATCAACACTTAAACATAATCCGGCCACTTAATCCCTTAAAATACGTTTGGCTTTGGTTGAATTGTTTCTCCATAAAGGCTTGCTCGATCTATCTTTTAGTCAGCAACAAAACAAGCGTTCTTTTTAAAAGTCGGACTTTTAAAGAGCCTAGTCATGATCATGTTGCATAAAATCTACATAAGTTCGAAGAAAGATAATGAAACAAGTGTCACTTTGGCGACTTGAGTCAATGTTTATTTTCTTTTCACTCCTGTCGTCAGATAACAATTGAGCGCATTTTTCGGTTAACAAAGACAAAGAATACTCGAACAAAAATAATACTTATGGAAATTACCTGTCTTCCGGCGAGTGGGTCGCTTGCGAATTTTTACTGTTGCGCTGTCTGTTGGCACTACAAACAAGATAGTTGACCTCCGTAAAATATAAGATCTCTATTCGAAGTTGTATGCTCTAAGACAAAACTCGCGTTGACAACATGAAGTGTTAAACAGATTTCGTTTTTCAAGTTGTTCTGGTAGCGAAACTGATTTTTTTTTTTTTTTTTTTAAGAAACCTGTCTGGGCAAAAGCGAAAGGATGTGGCTTGGTAGCTACAGAGGAATGTTGATGTTCCGACATTTTTAAAAAGGTTCCTAAATTTAAATCGCGCGAAAATAGAATCAGCTGTATAGCCCCATGGTAAAATGGGAACACTCTCAACATGTCCAAATTTAGGCAATTGGTGAGGAGTTAATATTTAATGCCCATCTCCAGTAAAGCCCAATATTTTAGCGGAACTGGAAACGCTAAAACAATCGGAAGAACAACCCTGGGGTTACATTTCAATGCCCAAATTTGGTTACGGATAAGGATGGTGTTGATTTTCAACCAATAACAGTGCTGTTTAACGAAAGCGAAGTGTGCTGTGTTTCTAAAACACGGCACGGCCCACTAAACATCAGTTACGTCTCCTTCCGATTTCGAGTCGAACTTGTTGCTTGTGCAAATTTTTCAGATTAGAATTCTTGAACTGCGCTACATTTCACAATGACGGAGCCTCATCTTTCTCCAGAAGAACTTGCTGAAATTCGCGAGTCGTTCGACCAGGTAAGCTTTTTACTCTCATTAATGTGACGCTTAATTAAGTCGTGTTCAGAGTCCTCAGTCATTTAATGCCATGGCTAGTTAACCCTTTAACATTACTTCATAATTTGCCTGAAAAGCGAATCATTGGTGAATAACACTTCGTTATCATACATTTATTCATAATTGACAAGAACACCTCGAGACTTCGATTTTTTGGTTCTGCGAAATATTGTGTCTAGCTTTGGAAGCTTTGCCTAAGATTAGCGTCGGTGACAGCAATATTAACTTAGACTTCTGTCTTCTTCATCAAAGTTCGACTCGGACAAAAATGGCCATATCACGACTTCTGAAATTGGGGAAGTGATGAAAGCTCTTGGAGAAAGCATACCCGGCTACAAGATACGAGATATCATTAAAGAAGTGGATTTAAACGAAAATGGCACCGTCGAATTTAATGAGTTCTTGGAGGTAAGCGATCAATTTTCTTTTGAATATCGGAAGTGGAAGCTCGCGTATGTGCATTTGGACGCCATGAAATGCCAAAGTTTGTTTTATCTTCCAAAGTGTTAAACCACTAATGAACGTTCTAATGGGCGGGGAGTAATTACTGCTGCAACATATTTCGCATGTCTATTAACGAGTTATAGATAATTAGTTGCATTTTAGAGAAGATTACGGTTTTAGTTAACAGTAATTTACATTCGAAGGCATGATCATGAAATAATCTCGGTGGAAACGAAAGTGTTGTGGTTTTGCTTCATCACACATGATGCGCAGCTTTTTAATTCTTTCGTGGATAGATCAATTTGTCGAAATGTCATCGCCAGACCCCGTCAGTATGTGTAAATGAAGTTAATTTGCTTTGTTTTCCGTTTTCTGTTTTTTTGGAAAGCTCATATCCGTTCTGAATTCAAGTAGAATCAATCTTGCAACAAAACGCTCTTTACAATGGTTTTCTGGGAGAGTTTTGTCCTTACACCTGTTATGGGAATGCAGGTGTGCCCTCAGTTCTCTTCAAGCAGACAGAACAATGGTCAGGATACAAGTCAATGGTTGTGACAATAATAAGAAATAGTATCTGCCAAATATTTAACAGTTATTTGCCTCATGTTCGGTGAATATTGTCGAATAATCCCCGAGATGAAGTCAAGGGGATTATTCGGCAATATTCACCGAACCTTAGGCAAATAATTGTTTTAGTATAATTTCAGAGCTGAACAACAGAGAAATTTCTAAAATCATAACATTTTAATAACATTTATTAACATTTTATTTTAACATTTTATATAAACCGCATGAAGCGGTTTATATAGCGTCATATAAGGAACCGCTCCACCAATCAGATTGCTGGAAACTCTTTGCTCAGCTCTGAAACTATACTAAACTCATTTAGTATAAATTACACAGGTGAATAATGGCGCTTTTTGTGCATGCATGCAGATCTTAAAGGTTCAATATGATTCGCAAGTACTATGCACCTCTGAGAAATGGAAGAATCAAAATTGTACCTTTAAAGTTCAATTTCTGATCATTTTGTGGTATCTGTTGGCAGAAGAAAATCGATTTTTTGGTTTCTGTGTGGTACATGTACATACTAAACAATTATCCACCTTGATGTCGCTGAAATTGGCTAGCCTGCGAAGCAAGCCCTGGGGGAGAGGAAGGGGGATTGGGGGGAGCGGAATGTGCCGAGTGGAGAGGGAGGGCTTGCCACAGACCCCCACTAACCAACAAAATTTCCGATCTCGTATGGACGAAAAATTCCCATTGGATGAGAGCAACATGTCGTCAATCAACCCTCGAACTAAACAGTCTTCATGGGGACTACCTTTTAGAAAATGGCGGACGACAGTGATTTCAAGAAGTTCTGCCCTCAAGAATTGATTTCGAAGTAGAATATTTGTGGCTGCCATTCACTTGTACAAACTCAGGGCCTTGATAAGAATGGCTTCTTCATTCTCAAACTCTCCCTTAACCACAACATTTCAAAGCCGATGGACGTTGGATCTAAATCATCAATGTTTAAATTTGTATCCATCGCCGAAGTTGACTCGTTGGCGAAGTTGACTCGAAGTTGACTCGTTGGCGAGTCAAGCAACGTTTCCCTGCTAGATGTAGGTTTTGCATGTGCTGGGAGCGAACACGCAAGCTCTTTCTACCTGGACTTTTTCCTGTCGGTGTTGAGAACTTTCATTTCAACGAAACATCACAGGAATCTGGACATTGAGAAGTGGCCTTATTCAACAATTCATAAAACTGGAAAAAACTGTTAGCTTTTCTTGCACAAGGAAGGCATATAAATTGAGATACGTGCGACTTACTTTCGAAGTGAAAACTGACCGTTTGAAGGCGATCGGCAAAGACACACTGAAATTCTTCCCTTTGACTCTGATTAAAAATGTTTACAAAACTCTTTGATGCCACTTCCAAATTTAATTCTTAAATCTACTCCACAAAACTGGCAAACTACGTCTTCTGGATTAACTTTTGGCTTTCTCCATCTCTTAGATTTTGATACCATATTCTCCTTGTCGTCTGACATTTCTCACTCTCATGGAGCAAGTTTTAGTTGTTGTTTTGACAGTTTGCATGGTTCACTGAGCTCTCGATAATGGCGCTTTCTGATTGGTTAATTTTAAGAGGCACTGATTGACATATGCATGACAATATGAATATGAAAATAGGGGGCGTTTCGTTAGGTAGTGGGGGACTGTGGCAAGCCCTCCCTCTCCCCTCTGCACATTCCTCTCCTCCCAATCCCCCTCCTTTCCCCCAGGGCTTGCTTCGCAGGCTAAAAGTGGCAGACATTTACCTTCACCATGCATGGGTGAATAATTGTTAACTGTTGAGAAGTTCTGAGTTACCTTAGCAACCAGAAGTCTATTCTTTGCAAGGCAATATGCAGGAGTTTTTAGTTGAGAGTCAAAAGTGATTCAGTATTCATCGGGTTGGTTTTATTTTTTTTTTGTTTTGTGATTGGCCCACAAAACTTCCAATACCCTCTCAACAACAACAATAACAGCCACATTTATTTAAACACGATAAATATTACAGCGGAGCTGATGTGGTCTTGTATTTAAAAGGATAAAAAGTACTATTTACAAGTAAATAAAAAACTTAAAGCAATCAATATTTAGAAAAACCTTTTTAGAAATATCTATATACCAGCTATTTAACATGTGATAGGCAGAAAAAATCAACAACAATTTATCCCTACAGACCTGTTTCATGGTTGCCCACTCATCAGGGGATTTTAATGACAGAATAATGCAGTACCACTGCTTATATACTATACTAATTAACATAATTGATTTGGTGTGAGAAGAAGTCAAGTCAGTTATTGCATAGGAGGTCTTTGTTTCTGTGTCAGCAGGAAGAGACGAGTTCATTATGCTTGTTGAGTGTATAGATAGGTTGGGTCAGCAGATGATCAGGAATTTCTCTTTAAGGCATAAGTTGCATCGTTTGCTTGAGCTGTTGTAGGGCAGGAGTGAAGATAGAATGCACCAGGTGATGGAATAGCCAATGTTGTTGTCTTTTAAGAGTCCAGATGTGTTTACTGAGTTCGGTAGAGTTACAGTGCTTTGCATGTTAGAATGAGGAGGTGTGGTTGCTGTAGCAGGTCTTGAAGTTGTTTGCAGCGAGTCCGATGTATGAATCTGTTGAGTTGTTGTCTTTACTTGTAACAGTGGCTTGGTAGATAACAGATTATTGGAGGCAGTTTCCATCTAGTGGCCATGAGTTTTTCTGCTGGCAGTTGCATTTTTTGTTATGGTTAGTGGTAGCGTCGGTGGTTGTGGTGGCAGCATTAGTCTTTACATGGGAAGTCAGGATTCTTTTGTTGTGGTTGTCATTGATTTGTTTTGTATTGTTCATGCAGCTGTAACTGATCTTGATTGTGTTTGTTGGAGATTTTGCAAAGCTTATGGTCTTTAGGCCTAGGAAGTGTTTGTCTATCAGTGCGAGGAATTTATGCCCGATGTTAGTGCTGGTGTTCTTGCTGAAAGGTGGGTTGTACCAGAGGATGTTATTGCATTGACGGTTCTTGCGCCTTTGCATGTGTGCTGGTTCAAAATGAAGTGTGTAGCTGTATCCACTATTGTCTAGTGCTTTCTGGTAGGTGGGAGTGGCTTGGTCAAAGGAGCTGGCTTTGTAGGATGAGAGAGATGATAAGTGTCTGTTGATACCTGCGGAGATGTTCTTTGTGGTGATCGGTGGGTGGTTGCTCTCATGGTGGATGTATTGCAGTGTAGTGTTAGGCTTCGTGCATGGTTGGTAGGTGTTTTGTCTGAGGTTAAATGTGGCGTCTAGGAAGTTGATTACTTGTTTGTTGGCTTCTACCAAGCTATTTACATAAACCTGAATCAGATACAAAAATACAACTACTTTTGCCATGGTCATTGGGGTTTTCTGCAAATTAAGCAGTTTGTTTGTTTTCCTTAAGTCTTTATTGGTTCATTGTGACATTTTTTCGTTTGATTGGCTGTACAGTTGTGACAGTGTAAGTTATCTCGTTCACAAAACTCAAATGGAAAGTGCTCTTTTAGCTAGAGCAGAATTTTGGATATTTGTAGGATAACTAATTTTTGTAACTTTGTCACAATTACTACTAAACTAAATATTTCGTGACCTGCAAGGGTGTAAAAATTCAAGTTTTCTTTTCTCCCAGATTTACAAGAAAAACAGCAAGAAATTCTCAGCTGGCACAGAATTTAAGAAACTTATAAAGAAAACAGAGAAAGTGGAGATTTCAGGAGGAACATCTGAAAGTTCTGCTGAAGGCACCAAGCACACCTTCTCAGAAGCTGAGAAGGTAGCTTTTGTAGACTGGATAAACACTGCCTTGCAAGATGATGCAGAAGCCAAGGCGTACTTGCCAATGGATCCTGCAACCCAAGATCTATTTGTCAAGATCAATGATGGAATCATTCTTTGGTGAGTTGTTGCAAAATACATGATCTCCCTTGGGACTGTTGTGCAGGTTCACCTTACAAGATCCTCCTCTTTTGATGAGGGAGGGTGTGTGTTGTGTTACAAACTGATCTGACTATTGAAAATGAGACTTAAGTTCCGTCATTCACGGCTTTTCGATCTCCATCTTCCCAGTGCAGAATCAACTGTAGGATAAGGTATCAATACAATCAGATCATAGTGTACTACAGTACTAATCCCCTGATAAACTTTTAGTTGATTTGGATTGGAAGAACTTAGTCACTAAAAAGGCTGAGTTGTTATTTGGAGTTCTTAGTTTTTTTTCCTTATGTAAAACTATGTCTGATTAACAATCTTAGAAATTATGAAAGCAAGCCATCTTTATTTGGGCCACTGAGAAATTTTTATAAGCAATGCTCTAGCTCAACATCGATGCATCACAACAAGTTTAAAAAAAATGAGGAAAAGGTAGGTTTAAAATGTGAAATGAAATTGCATCAAGAAGGTAGTACAAGTTTCTATACCAAAAAAAAAACCTTGAAGCCAAGTGACACCAATACAGTCCTTAACCATTTACACACTGACCTTAATATTCTCCATACTGTTCACTATATATTTTCTGAGATGCTAAACAAGGAGAATTTGTTGAACAATCAAGGTATCTTTAGTTGGTGATCATTTCCTTTATTCTCCTGACCTTAATGTGTGATTCAGGGGTGAGATTGTAAGGAGAAATTAGATACTAGTCACTCCTAGGGATCCAAGGGTTGGATACTCTCAACACTCAACTGAAATTTGTTCCAATAGAAGTTTTTTTTCCTTAATTCAGTAAAATGATCAACTTGTCTGTACCAGACACGGTCGATGAACGTGCCATTAACAAACCAAAAGGTGGAAATTTGACTATTTTCAAGATTCATGAAAACATGACATTGGCTCTGAATTCAGCGCGCTCCATCGGTTGTAACATTGTCAATATTGGAGCCGAGGATCTGGAGAAAGGAAAGCCTCATCTTGTACTGGGTTTGCTGTGGCAGATCATTAGAGTAAGTGTGAGAAGTTACATGTACATGTTAATCACCTCTGGGAGTTAACGCTTTAACTCCTGGAAGTGATCAGTAGGTAACTTCTCCCTGTAATATCCATTCATGATCCAGCAAACAGGTAATGAGAATACTCAAACTTATCAGGTAAAAGTTGTTTCCGTCTCCTCCATCTATTAATCAGTTGATTTGGTTTAGGCAGGGGACGTTAAAGAA